CTCTCTCTTACTCGTTTCCTCTCGTCTGCTCTCCGGCACTCGCGCCGAGGCAGTCCGCGCTCGTCCAAGCGACGAATAAGTTGCGGGCCAGTAGCGTCTCGTCGCGTCTCGGCGCCGCGAGGCACACGATGTAAAAATTTGCTTTCTCGATGACTGCAAAAAAAAAGAAAAAGCGGGTTTTGCCCGGGTTACCCGATTCGCGATGCGTGAATCTGTGTGAGGAATCTGTACATTATTTATGGCGCATTATCACAGCGCTATTACAGCCGCTTGATCCTTTCAGATCTGACTCGCACTTTAGGATGTAAATAGTTTTTTCAAAAATTATTTCAATTCAGCTCTCAGACGGACGCAGTGTATCAGACACATCGTATACTCCATGTACATGTACATATATTTTTTATTATAAATTTTAATTTATTATAAATTACTTTATTATAAATTCTTATTATTGTCCAATGAATTCTATTTTTCTTCGATTTTTATAAGATATAAAGTAATAGTTATAAACGGAAAGAATCAGGACTTTGAAGGAATTATATAAACGTGGATGATCTAAACGTATTGTCGCCCGTACATTCGAGTCGATATGCACGTAATGTGGAAATCACTCATGCGGGATGTGTACGTCAGACGAATCTGCACGTGATACTTTTGTGCAGCATTATAAATCAATGATATTTGAATCAACATTATTGAATTTATGATCGGATGAATGGAAACAAAACACATTTTGCCATCTTACACTTAGCCGTTTTATGTATTCCTTTCACTTGGGACATCAACGAAAATTTTTAAAATTTATGACCCATAGTACTTTACAAATTTAAGATAATATACTGTCTATTCTTTTCTTTTTTTTTGCTCTCTTTTTTTTCTCTTTTTTTTCTCTCAGCGCAAGATTTATCGAATAATTTGTCTTACATAATTTTTATTATAATTTAGCTTGTCAAAAGATGAATTATCATGAATTGTCATAAAAGATTTTATCGCATAGATTAAATAAAATGCAGCAGAAATAGAAACTTAATTCACGATGTCTTCGTGACGACTGTCTGTGGTCTGACGATGAGTGGCCCCCGCGCATTCGTAAGAGGATTGTGTGTATGACGTAATCTTCAGGAATTTCGAAAGTTTAGATAAGAATTCGCGAGAGACGCCACGATTAACCTTGATTGAAGGAGTTTGCTTAAAGTTACGCCACTCTATGATCGATTTCTTCACTTTGCGATCGGAATTTTTAGCGACACAAAAAAAGTTTCGCAAGAAGTACTTTTAATAAAAAAATGACAATAAACAGAAACGTAAAAATATCCATTATTGAACGTATATATCTGTCATATGAATCAAACGACTCGATTTGTTCCTGGAACTAATCGTTCTATGGGATAATGGCATTTCAGTATCTAGCGATATCGCGATGCGCGATGAATGATTAGTAAAACTTCAGCCTCGAGTACTGAAATAATTACCAAATCATAAATCTCACGTTCGTTCCGTATACGATCGATAGCTTCATTTCAATTCGTGATATTTCCACGGCATTCGCGAGCATTCCAAGACCGGAAAATCCAGAAAAATTTACGGCCTTTAATCTCACGGGAAAAAAAATGTCAACGCCTCCTTGCCGATGCAAGTTTTCTCTTGATATCTGATGCCGAGCAAAATAAAATTGTGATGTAATATTCTTCGTTAATGGCACGAAAGTTGGAATGTATGATTGTAGATAAGAATTTTTCGTTTTATATCTTGTATAATAGTGATATCAATATAGTGTAATCTTTTTTAATCAATAATAATCAAGCCACGTCGAAACGTTAAAAAAAATATTCATGTTCCAATTCTTTTTTAACACCTGGACGATTGTGCCGTTGTAATTTTCAATAACAAGCATGTGCACACAACATGCAAATTACAACATTTCAAGAAATATTGGTAATAAGGATTAAATAGGGATTAAAATGTCAGGAGTATTGCGCTTAAATTATTGGTCCTTTTCGATGGATACAAGTGTCAAGATTTCAAGGTGAAAGTATCGATATTCGGCTCTAGC